GGGCTTTCCAGAACCTCGAGGAATAAGTGGGTTTTCATAAAAAATGATCGACGTTGGTACCTCATGCAATCTCATTATTTCTCGTACATAAATATAAGTCAATTTCTCTAAGGTGAAGTCCATTCTAATTGGAAGAAAGTGAGCATTCTTTGTTATTCTATCCACTATAATCCAAACAACATCATTCTTTCTCCGTGTTAACAATAAACTCTTCACGAAGTTTATGGTCAATCTATCCAATTTCCTCTGCGGAATCTGAATAGATTAAAGTAGGTATGAGGGAACCTGATGTTCCACTTTCACTTATTGGAAAATCGAACACTTGGAGACAAACTTAGATACCTCTATTTTCATACTCGACCACCAACAAAATAGTTGTCGAAGTTTCTATTACATCTTGTTACTTCAGGGGTAAACGATAAGCATACTACAATACGGCTCATGCAAAATCTTACTACGTAATTGTTCATCATAAGGGATGCATAAATAAACCCTAATGTACAACATATCCTCATCTTTCTTCTTAAAATCGGGCGCTAAGCCTTTATAGACTCGTTATATCTAAACCTTTACCTTTTCATCCACACTCTGTAACTTTTTCACTATGCCTACTAACTCGGGTTATACTCTAAACTCTGCTAGTAAACCCCCATCCTTATCCAAGCTCAAATGTGCTAGCAAAGCCTGTAGGTCGGTCATTGACTTCTGACTTAGAGCATCAACGACCACATTTTTTTCCAAGGTGATAATCGATAACACGATAATAATCCTTCAAAAGTTATATCCACCTAAACTGTCTCAAATTCAACTCTTTTTGCATGAGTATGTACTTGAGACTCTTATGGTTGGTGATTATGTAGCATTTTTCCTCGAACAAGTAGTGCCTTCATATCTTTAAGGCAAAAACTACTGCAGCTAGTTCTAAATCATGGGTGTGATAGTTATGATCATGTGACTTGAGTTATCGTGATGAATTGGCCACAACCTTCCCTTTTTACATTAGTACATATCCTAAGCCGTTTAAAGATACATCGCTAAACACAGTGTAATCCTTAGTAGACTCTAGTTGGGTCAAAATGGGATCTTCGGTTAAGATAGCCTTCAATATGATCGAAGCTTTTCGGGTACTTATTCTATCAAACAAATAGAACCCCTTTTTAAAGTAACTTAGTCATTAGAGTTTCTATTATAGAGAACCCCTTAACAAAATGATGATATTGACCCGTAAGTCCTAAGAAACTACGTAACTCTAACACGTTCCGCAGTGGTTCATACTAAACCACTTCTTGAATCATTTGGAGATCCACCCTAATACCACTTGCGGCTGTTACATGGCCCATAAAGCTCATGTCTGATAGTTAGAATTCACACTTGTTGAACTTGGCATATAGTTGAGTCTCTTTAAGTGTTTGCAACACAATTTGAAGGTGACAGTTGTGTTCCTATTTTGACTGGGAATACATAAGAATATCGTCAATGAACACCACTACAAACTGGTTAAGATATAGATGGAACACACGGTTCATTAAATCCACGAATGTCATCGGGGAATTGGTGAGCCCAAATGGTATTACTAGGAATTCGTAGTATCCATAAGGGTCCTGAAGGTTGTCTTAGCTACATCGACATCTTTAACTTTCTTACATTTGTAGTGACCTTGATCATGAGCTACTATCGACGCAGTACCTCGCCTATAAATATACTTGAAATCAATAAAGGTCTCTCTCAGCCACTAGTTTATAGTTATGACATCATCCTTCCTTGAACCATCGTCTTATACTGATAGAGCCTCTCGACCAGTAACTCATGCTAAAGTGCAACGGGAGGAGCTAGTGGTACGGGTGGAGTGTCGGAGGCTCTCGGAATGGCACACACTATGTGCCTTAAGGCTTGGATCAAATCATGGAAGAAGGTCGCTTCATCAGACCCCGCGCCGGCTGGAATTCTAGACTCTTCTAAGTCTAGTACAAACTCATCCCCCAATTCATCCACTAACAATACTTGACTCTCGTCTTTACCCTCGTTACTAGGAGCAGTATCGTCAACCATTACTTTTTTGAAATTAAAAGGAAAAAGGATAGCTTCACCATTTCATGTTTTTAAGTACTCTTGACAGTTTAGAGATATGTACTCATTGACACTTATTGACTCTAACATGTGAGTCTTAGGAAAGACCGAACATGGCACTCTGATATCACTAAACGTAATGCCCTAATCCAGTCTGATCCGAAAATCGATGGATTAAAACATTACACAAGACCACTGATCGCTTGTAAATGTATATGATAAGGCAAGCAAATTTGTGCAAGTATACACAATCGATGCAAGTAATATAGTAGTGAGTGAGTATCGTCTCCACAGGGATTGGATTAGAAATATATATTTTCACCACAACTATAACTAATGTCACAAACTAAATCCTACTAAGTATTTGAACTAATAACTAATATGAATAAAATAAGAAGAATGATTCAATGATTTCAGAATAATGTAGTCAAGACAAATGAAATATGCAAACAGATAAAACAAAACAAAACAAGTATTGGTTTAAATATAATGCAAACAACCTCTCATATTCAGACGTGTCATTGAGTAGTGATGCTAAACTATTGTCTTAATAACAATTATTCTAAGTTCTGAATGTATTATTATGCCTCACTAAGCTGCCCGACAGGATTACTAGGTATTATTGAATGGTTGCTATGGTAATACCTCTCGGCATTAACTATAGACGTTGTCTTAACCTACTCTAGCAATTATCCCTTTTAGTCGCTTGAAACTCACTCCTTATCTCTTAGGTAGACAAGTTAGAACTTCACCATCCCGGATTCATTCCTTTTCTCACGTTGATCTATCTTAATTCACTCCAATCTAAAAATCACTATCTAGACAAAAGGTTATCTCTCGATGCTCTCACAATGCCAAGACATGTTTTACCGAAACCCCAGGTGATCTCTCGATGCTCTTACAGTGTTAAGGCAAAATATTTAAACTATGAGCAAAACAATCATAAGCAAACATAATTCATCATTCATAAACATAAAAATATTGTTTAGGCAAAATAAAGTTTAACACCAAGTAAAGCATTCATGGTGTTATCAAAGATCATCCAAGATTTAACCTTTTAATATAACCCCAAATAAAATAAGAATTAAGAACAAAGGAAGAATGACTCCCAAAATTGGGGGCTCTGTCGCGACAATCCTGATCAGTACCACGCCTGCCTTGGTGATCAACCTCTCTTGAGGCATGATCACCGCTCTGCTATCATCTGGCTATGGAGGATACCAAGGAAGATTGGTGGGTAGACGGTGGGAAAGCACTGTAGTTGCTTGCTCACACCTTAGGTAAAGCTCTTATCTCTTCTTCTTCCTTGCCTCCTTTCTTTTTGCGGCTACAGTTGAATATTTATAAGGAAAAATCTCCTAGGGCTTTGCATGCTTTTGGAGTTTCCTTAATTAGCCGTTATTAATTTCCCAAGCTTAAAAAGGAAAGGCGACTAGTGGCTGTCATAACAATCAAGGCTTGCTTGCATGTGAAGTAGGTCATCCAGCTGGCATGTGACATAGGCGGTTTCGCCACACTTGCTTTAGACTTCTTCAGATAAATCTTGCCTCGACGAGATAAATCTGCTCTTCACGTTCTCTTCTGTTCCGTTGACCTTTGCAACTTTGCATTGTCACGATTGAAATGTTCTTCCTCTATATAATTCTTGCATAAATACAACTCAAACAACCCTTTCTCCTTAGCAGCATCAGTCAAGCCAAATAAATCTTGCCTAAGAAAAACTTATCCACCACAGGCTAATATAACCTATATGCAACTAAATGTAACTAAAAATGCAGTGCATACTTTGTTTAGACAAGAAATAACTTAAGTGATAATACTAGAAAATGAGCCTTTTTACGGAGTTATCACACCCCTATACTTAAGCTATTACTTGTCCTCAAGCAATGGATAATAGCTAGAAAAAATCAAAATTATCATGGCAAAGCAATATCAAGAACATCATCAAATTTGAGATTTCAGCCTTAAGCAAAAATATTTGGCCTCAACATGTTCGACAGTCATATCAGTCAAGTCTCTTCCCTAGTCTGGATCCTTTGCTATGGTGTGTTCGTGATTGTAACCAGTTTATGCATAGAGGTAATTAGAAAACTTAAAGTAAGAACTTCTAGGTTGTCAAGGCAACAAACTATTCATCAGGCTTAGTTTATTCTCATAGTTATTTATCAACTTTTATTCTCTTTATTCACATATTTTTTTTATAGGGGAGTCAGCTCATCACATCTACCGTTCCACACTCTAGGTGAAAGGGAGCATACCTTCCACCCCCAAGTTAGTTGGACAGAGTCATCATGTGACTACTTTCATTCACTCATATGCCTTGGCTACTCTTAATTTCTTTTGGAGTTTTTCTTGTTCATGCCTTTGCACAGAGGAGTGTCCCTTTGTGTTTTTTGAGTTTTTCATGTTTTTAAACACTAGAGAGTTTTTACTTTACCATTAGAATATTTTTTTGAAGTCTCGGCAATTAGAAAGTTCTTTCCTAAAAATTTTACAGATTACCTAGAGCAAAGAAAACCTACAATCGTGTTTATAAATTTCAAAGAATCAAGGCTAGGGTTGGTTATCTCTTTAGACAGTGTAACAATAATTTCTGGCATAGGCAATAAAATTTTCTTCATCATTGGGTATCCTAATCATTCTAACAATAATCTTAACCTACTTATTTCATGACAACCAAAATTTTCAACCAATAAACATCAATTACTATTTAACAAAGTATGGTAGAATGGTACAACACCTCCCCCAAACTTGAGGGTTTCATTGTCCTCAATGCATGAAAACTACACTATATGATTTTATATGCAGATGCAAAAAAATTAAAAAGAAAATGATAACTAAGAAGAATAAACTCACTTTGGTGGGGTGGCTTGACTGGACGCCCTCGTGCGACGTCGTTTGGGAGGAGAGGGACTCTTGGATCTGGAGTCTACTGTTGTTGGGGAGGGAGATGGCTGAAGTATACGTCCTGCTATTCTCTTGTAGCGCTTCTTGCTAGACGAGGCATATGCTGGAGTGGACTGCTCGGTCGTAGGAGTCTGTTGTGCTGAGACAGGTGGTGGACTAGGAATTTCTGTTGGGACAGGTGGTGGTGATTGAACCGGGGACGGAATAGGATCATGCTCGGGTTGCTTCGGTGCTGGCGTGAAATCTTCATCAGTGAAGAAGTGGGGTGGAGTATCATCACTGCTTTCGATGGTCGAGATGGATGAGGAACTGAGGAACTCTTCTGTGTCGCCTTGGCCTTCTTCTAGTACGGGTGGGACATGTGTTGCCAGTGGTGGCACATCAGTGGGCACTTATGGTGGAACATCTGGAGGGACATAAGATATCAAGGCATGGAATGTGTTGCCACCTGCATTGTAGTTGAGGATAACACTGAGAAAGGTTAGCAGTCTGATCATTATGGTCGTTAGCAACTCCTTGATGAAGGAGTTGAGTTGCATGTCCCTTGCCTTAGCATACTCGAAGTAAATTCTTATGTGGTCCTCCAGGCGTCCGATCTTTTCATGTGTCTCTCGTGTGTGCGTGACCACATCAACCATTCTAGCCGCGACAACTGATTTTACACCCCGCTCCAGACCTTCCTTTGGGTCGTCATTATTGAAACTCACCAACTCGGGGACCTTTTTCTTTGTAATACCCTTATTGGGTTTGATGAAATCTTTGAATGGTTCCTCAGGAACCTTTTCCTTCCTGCACAGCGTGGTTTTAAGGTTTGGAAATAGTAGGTTACCCCGGTTCTATTTCCACAGTCATGGATCTGCTCAAAGATGATTTCGTTCACGTTGATCTTCCTACCATATATGATCGAGTGTAAGAGCATCAGTCGCTTGACGAGGACAGTGGTGTTGTGGGATGTTGGCATCAGTTTTCCCTTGAGAAAGTGGTTCCATAATTTCACGTGCGATTTTAGGGCTTGACAATCTACTCATTTCCTTGTGGGGGCATTCCCTTCGAACTTGGCCTACCCAAAGCATAAATCCTGTAGAACTCTACTGTACGTTTCTTGATCTGCTTCGGTCACAAATCTCTTGTGTTGGTCATCCACTCTCCCCAACTTAAAGTATTTGTTGAGTGCAGAGGGGGAGAAGTGAATGAATTTTCCTCGAACATATAATGTGTTATTGGAGGGGTTCTCGAGATGGGCATAGAACTCCCACACCATTGTTGGTGCTGCGGTGTTAGGATTTCGAGCAAACTTCTCCCAGGTATGATTTTTTATGACGTCCATCACCTCGGGTCCAAACGGCTCCTCGCCCTCGGCTGGAAAAATGAATCCATCTTCCAAATATACTTGGTGTTGCTGAATGGTTTTGAAGCGTGCTTCTGCTTCAGCTGTTTGGAAACGTTTGAAACTCTGTTTGGAGGCTGGGGCCGGTCTTGATCTCACCATTTTTCTTGGTTGAATTTAGTGGTGGCGACGGGGAGGTATTTTTAAGAGAAAGAATAAAATAATTTCTGGTTTATGGAGAAAGAGGGAAATACGTTGAAGAAGAGGTGGGTGGATAGTTTTTCTTGGAAAATGATGGGTGGTTTCGGGGTATTTTAGTCTTTACATGGTGGGGAAAAGATTTATCATTAAATGAGAAATATGTGATTTGACATAAAGGAGGAGAAAAGATTTCTTTCCCCCTTTACTCTGCCACCAGAACCTTTTTCCCTAGTTTGTCCTTTTTCCGTCATGCAGCTTCATATTTGCTCAATTAAGTAAAGCAAACTCTTGTACATCATGTACCAACGATGTCGGTTTATCGCGCATGACTGTTGCTCTTTTGTACTCCTTGAGTCTCTATCCATTCACCTTAAATATAGAACATTCGTTTTGGTTCTGGATTTCAATTGCTCCATTATCATAGACTTGGTGAACAATGAATGGTCCTGACCATCTCGATTTTAGCTTGCCTGGGAAGAACTTAAGGCGTGAATATTAGAGTATTACTTGTTATCTAGAATAAAATTGCCTAGGCAATATTTTTATGTCATGCCATCATTTTGTTTTCTCCTTGTAAAGGTGGGAATTCTCGTATGCATGTGCTCTAAATTCATCCATCTCGTTCAGCTCCAAGAGTCTTCTTTCTCCAGCAAGCTGAGCATCCATGTTTATCTTTTTGATGGCCCAATAAGCTTTATGTTCAAGTTGAACCGGTAAATGACATTCCTTCCCGTAGACCAGCTTGAATGGGGACATTCCCAACGGTGTCTTGAATGCTGTGCGATAAGCCCATAGTGCTTCATCTAGCTTCGGTGACCAATCTTTTCGACTTGGGTTGACCACTTTCTCAAGGATCTACTTGATTTCTTGATTAAACACTTCGGCTTGTCCATTCGTCTGAGGGTGATACGCCATAGCGATTATATGTCCTACTCCATATCTTTTCAGTGCCTTGGCAATCAGTTTATTGTCAAAATGTGTGCCTTCATTGCTAATGATAGCTCGTTGTGTTCCAAAGCGAGTGCATATATTTTTGTACATAAACTTCAATACCGTCTTGGAATCGTTCTTAGGTATTGCAATGGATTCAACCCATTTTGATACGTAATCCACTGCCAAGAGAATGTACATATCTTCGAATGATGTTAGAAAAGGTCCCATGAAATCTATTCCCCATACATCAAAAAGTTCGATTTCCAGAATGTTTTGCCATGGCATCTCATGCCGTTTCAAGATGTTTCCTGTTTGTTGGCATCTATCACATTACTTATAGAATTCATGTGCGTCTCTAAACAGGGTTGGCCAATAAAATTCGGACTAAAGTACTTTTGATGATGTTCTCATTCTACCCAAATGCCCTCCATATGGTGACGAGTGGCATTGGCTTAGGATATCTTGTTGCTATTCTTCTGGAATGCATCTTCGGATTATTTGGTCTCCGCATTGCTTGAATAAAAACAATTTGTCCCAGAAGTAATGTCGCACATCATGTAAAAAATTCCTTTTGCCCTGGCTAGATAAATCAAGAGGAACAATACCGCTAACAAGAAAATTAACTATGTCAGCATACCACGGTGCAGCCGTGACAAATAATATTTTCTCATCAGGGAAATCCTCTTTAATTTTTCTAATGTCAGGACAATCAGGTTTGTTATCTAGCTTAGACAAATGGTCTGCCACTTGATTTTCTATACCTTTTCTATCCTTGATCTCTAAATCGAATTCTTACAGTAATAATATCCACTGAATTAGTCTAGGCTTTGCATCTTTTTATTAATTAGATATTTAATGGCTGAGTGATATGTGTGCACAATTACCTTAGTGCCTATTAGATATGGCCTAAACTCATCGAATGCAAATACTATTGGTAAGAGCTCTTTTTCAGTGGTGGTATAGTTCACTTGTGCATCATTAAGAGTTCGGCTTGTATAATAGATAACATGAAAATTTTACTTTTTCGTTGCCCTAGCACTACTTCGACTGCATAGTCACTAGCGTCGCACATGAGCTCAAATGGTTCGTTCCAGTCTGGTGGGATAACAATTGGTGTTGCAGAAAGCTTTTTCTTCAAATCTGTGAAGGAATTCAAACAATCATTAGTAAATTCAAATGGATGATTTTGTTGAAGCAAAAGACATAAGGGTTTAGAGATTTGAGAAAAGTCTTTTATGAACCGCTTGTAGAATCCTTCATGTCCAAGGAAACTGCGTATAGCTCGTACATTAGTAGGTGGGGATATATTTGCAATTGCATCCACCTTGGCTTTGTCGACTTCGATGCCATGGCATGAAATTTTATGACCAAACACTATTCCTTTGGTCACCATAAAATGGCATTTTTCCCAATTCAGTACTAGGTTGGCTTCTTCACATCATTTTAACACCTTGGATAAATTGTCGAGACATTGGTCAAAGTCATCACCCGAAACGGAGAAGTCGTCCGTAAATATTTTCATGCACTCTTCCACCATATCTGCAAAGATTGTCATCATGCATCTTTGGAATGTAGATTGAGCATTACACAGTCCAAACGGCATTCGTCGAAATACATAGGTACCATACGGGCATGTGAAAGTAGTCTTTTCTTGGTCCTCGGGTGCTATGGTAATTTGGTTATATCCCGAGTATCCATCGAGTAAACAATAAAATGCTTTTCCTGCTAATCTATCCAATATTTGATCGATACAAGGGAGGGGAAAATGATCTTTGTTTGTGGATTTGTTGAGCTTCCTGTAGTCCATGCATATGCGCCAGCCCGTGACTGTTCTCGTGGTGAGTAACTCATCATGTTCTCTTTTGACCATAGTCACACCACTTTTCTTTGGTACGCATTGTACTAGGCTAACCCATGAACTATCAGATATATGATAAATTACTCCCGCATCCAGCCATTTTATTATTTTCTTCATGACTACCTTCTTTATGATCAGGTTGAGTCATCTTTGGGGTTCCACCGAAGTGCTGTGACTATCATCGAGATTGATTTTGTGCATGCATATGGTCAGACTGATTCTCTTCAAATCTACCATCGTCCAACCTATAGCTTTACTGTGATGTGACAAAACATTCAACAAACTATTCTCCTGTTTGGAGGTTAGGTTGGCTGAAATAATCACTAGTAGGGTTTCATCAACTCCTAGATAAGCATATTTCAAATATGATGGCAAAGTTTTAAGTTCCAATTTCGGTGCATGTTGTGAAGATGACTCTTGAGACTTAACTTCATCATAATCTAAAGGTTCAAATTTCATACCTGACCTATGAAGAAATCTCAATTGGTCCTCTGTCTTTCCTTCGTATCTTGCCTTAGTATCGCTTTATGGGTGTTCATTGCTCAGATTTATATGATTGGGGCTATAATTATCAGAATCGCCTTCTGAAAATAATTCGTCTCGGCCAAAATTTTCTACTTTATGCATCTCGGTTGTAGGTTCATGGTAAAGTACTGTATTTATCGAGCCTTAGGGATTCACCTCATCCAAGGATTGCATTTTCTTCAATCTTTTTAATGCATTGGCATTCCTATGGATCGTCCGCGTATTTTATAGAGTTGAATACATTGATCGTGACTTTTTTCTCTATAACTCTTATGGTAAATTCTCCCTTTTCACAATCTATTAAAATTCTGCCGGTGGCTAAGAATGGGCATCCCAAAATGATTGGTACATTTTCATCGGCTTCGCAATCCAGGATGAGAAAATCAACTGGAAATACAAATTTATCCACCTTTACTACAATGTCTTCAATTCTGCCCTCGAGTCACACATAAGACTGATCAGCCAGCTGTAGGATGACTGATGTGGGATGGCAGTGATATCCGTCTAGTTTCATGAATATAAACTTTGGTATAAACTTTACACTTGATCCCAAATCAATAAGAGCTCGTCCTATGAAGTCATTACCAATGGAACATGGTATCACAAAGCTGCCAGGGTCTTTTTGCTTTGGTGGGAGTTTGCTCACCGCTGAGCAGATTTCTGTTGCCGTGGCGACACGTTCTACCTTTCTTTTTTTGTAACAATTTCTTTTAGAAACTTGGCATAGGAAGGAATTTGCTTAATGGATTCAAGTAGAGGCACATTGATACACAACTGATCCAGAACATCAATGAATTTCTTGAACTGGATTTCATCGTCATACTTCTTCAACCGTTGAGGGAACAGTGGTGGAGGTCTCACATTTACTGCTGATGGTGCTGAGGAATCGTTGGCTGTGACCATGAATTTCTTGTTATCTGGTTGATGCTTTTCCGAGCCTTCACTTGTTTCCTTCTCTTCAGGCACTTACTCTCATTCAACATTCTCAGATTGATCAGGTTGTGTTATGCCTTGGCAAGACTTGTTCAAGTGATCTCCCCCAAACTTGTCATCTTGGTCGACTTGTTTTCCACTCCTTAGCGTTAGTACATTGCATTGCTCCTTCCCATGATGCTTAAAGACTTCAGTATCACTGGGGAGATTTCCGTGTGGGCGAGAATATAATGTCGTGGCAATTCGTCCCA